CTAAATAATACGACCTAAGATTAAGCTTAGCTTTAATCATGATTAAATCGCACGCGGGAAGATTGACTGATCGAGAGAGAAGAAAAGGAGATAACATCCTTGCTCTAAACTACTTTTCCCAATTAAATATATATTAAATCAAGAGGTTATTGAGTAGGTAACTAACTGTAGATTAAATTTACTACTTTGTCCCCTTTCTTCGCATTTTCTTGGGTTGAAAAATCAAAAGTATGCGGATTCCTTTCACACCGAAATTTCCTGAAGAAGATGTGAAAACGCAAAAAGCATAATTGCCCTTTTCCCTTTTGCATTGACTCATTGACTAATTTCTGGTGATCCAATTTGTAGATCTATTGAGTGTTTCTGTACTTACAATTCTCTTAGTCTTAGCTGCTCGATCATCGCTGCCCAGGTGAGATCGATTAATGGCTGCTTCTTCTTCTTCTTCTTGCCTTGGTTGGGAATACGATGTGTTCATCAGTTTTAGAGGGGAAGACACTCGCACGGGCTTCGTCAGCCATCTCTACAAAGCTCTGCGTCAGAAACCAATCAACACCTTCATTGATGCCGAAGACCTCAGAAAAGGCGACCGCCTTTCCGAGCTCCTGACAGCGATTCGAGAGTCAAGGATTTCGATTGTAGTTTTCTCTCAAAACTATGCTTCATCCACATGGTGCTTGAAAGAACTCGTGGAAATCTTGGAATGCAACCATTCCAAGAACCAGATTGTATTCCCCATTTTCTACCAAGTCGATCCGTCCAATATTCGTAAACTCGAGGGAAGTTTTGCAGAAGCTTTTGCTAAACATGAAGGTCGTTCTAACGTTGACGTGAAGGAGGTGCAGAGCTGGAGGTCCGCTCTTCCCAGAGCCTGCAATTTTTCCGGTTGGGATTCGAAAGAATATAAGTAAGTTCAATTTCTTCACTCACGCGCACTTGCTATTAAAGTATTTTTACTATACAAATATCAAATAACTCGAAAATGTTTATCCGGCTGGAGGTCCTCTCTTACAACGGCCACCAGTTTATCCGGCTGGGATTTGCGAAACCATGAATAAATTCTAATTTGTTTTAGTTTCCTGTTAATTTTTGAGATTTTTAATAGCATTTAGGGGCCATTTGATATATATATATATATATATATATTATATATTTTTTTTTTTTTTTAAGTTTGTAGTTTCCATTTTTATAAAACTAACGGATGAAAACATGTGATCTGGCTACAATGGTACAAAATTCTCAGGAAAAAAGGTTGTAAATACCCATTAGATCTAAATGCAAGATCTAACTACTGATATTTGGGACTACGTACTGTATACCATGAAAGAAAAATTGGAAACCTTGTTTAATAACTACTTTCATTGAAACTAAAAACTGAAAACAAAATCTGCAAACTTAAAATCTAGATTTAAAAAAAATTGCAAACGAAATTGTTATCAAAACGACCCATTAAGTATCATTTGGTGTTGTAATTATATTGTGTTTTAAATTTGACAGGGATGATGCAGAGCTTATTGAGAAAATTGTAGAAGATGTTTTTAAGAAATTGATCCACATCTCATCATCATCATCAACAACAACAACAACAAAGCCTTTTCCCACTAAGTGGGGTCGGCGATACATCTCATCATCCTCAAGCAAATATAATGGCTTGGTTGAAATGGACTCTCATATGCATAACATGCATTCATTACTGCATCCTCCTGGAGTTGAAACTAATGATGTTCGCATTGTTGGAATATGGGGTATGGGTGGTTTAGGCAAAACAACCATCGCTAGAGCTATTTATAATGAAATCTCTGGTGGATTTAAAGCTTGTTGCTTTCTTGAAAATTTCAAGGAAGGTTTCATGAAGCATGGCAAACTACATATGCAGGCAGAACTTCTATCGAGTATCTCGAACAACAGGGTGGGGAGTTCCGACGTTTCGAATAAAGGTTTCCAGGTGATGTTAAATAGTCTAGGTCGGAGAAAAGTTCTTATTGTTGTTGATGATGTGGAAGAATTAGAACAAATTGAAGCTTTACTTGGAGAGCCACATTCCTTTGGTGGTGGAAGCAGAATTATTATAACAACCAGAGATTCGCAATTACTAAGCATAGCTGATGGGATATATAATCCCAAGATTTTAAGTGATTATGGAGCTCTGGAACTCTTTAGGCGGTACGCCTTTAGAAAAAACCAACCCAACAGAGATTATGATGATCTCGAGTCGTGCTGTAAATTATGCTCAAGGTCTGCCTTTAGCACTCAAAGTCTTGGGAGCTTTTCTTTATAACAAAAATGTACGCCAGTGGGAAAATGAGTTAGAAAAAATAAAGAAAATCCCGCAAAAGGGAATTCATGATGTGCTTAAAACAAGCTTCGATGGACTAGATGACACGGAGAAGGATATCTTTCTAGATATTGCATGTTTCTTTAAAGGAATGAGAAAAGACTATGCAACCACAGTTCTGCACAGCTGTGGTTCCTATCCTGATATTGGAATAAAAGTTCTAATCGATCGAGCTCTAGTAACTGTCTCATGGAGGGGGGAACTGGAGATGCATGATTTACTAGAGGAAATGGGTCAGAAAATCGTCTACCAAGAATCTATCAAAGAGCCTGGGAGACGAAGTAGGTTGTGGAGTTATGAAGATGTTTTTCATGTGATAACTAAAAATACGGTGATAATTTCTTTTCTTATGCAATGTTTAGTAGAAAGCTTCAACTTTTGACCAAAATCAATTTCTTAAGCTCGTTTGATAACCACTTTTGTTTCCATTTATATTTTTAAATTTTCATTTTTTTAATAATTGAAAATTGAAAACAATTACAAACAAGTTATATGTTTTCAATTTTCAGATTTCTAAATAAATAATCAAAACAAAAGTGAAAAGTGAAAACAAAATTATTATCAAACAACTCCTTAAGAAACAAGCATTAACTTCATAATCTAAACTAAGGTTCTCTGCTTTTTCCTTCCCTTTGATTTGCACAGGGTACAGAAACAGTTGAAAGCATAATCCTAGATTTGGGGCACTCATATGAGGGATGCTTAATTGTTAAAGCTTTTGATAGGATGACTAAACTAAGACTTCTCAAGATCGGTACTTTCAGCATACAACACCTGACTGGGTCCTTAAAGTTTGTTTCTAGTGAGTTGAGGTTTCTTTCCTGGTCTTGTTTCCCGCTCAAGTCTTTGCCATCCAACTTTCAATTCGAAAATCTTGTTGGACTTGACATGCAATATAGCCACATTGACCGACTTTGGGAAGGAACCCAGGTATGTACAATCATTTACATGTATTTGTTTCTTTTAAATGTTTGGGCTTTGAGTGAGATGTCTTATTAAGTAATGCATGTTTTCCTGAATGTTTTAACAGACGCAGGAAAAGTTGAAATTCATCAATTTAAGTTATTGTGAATACCTTAAGGAAACCCCTGACTTCACAAATGTGCCAAATCTTGAGAGGCTAATTCTTCATGGTTGTATAGGGTTAGTTAAGGTTCACCCATCTATTTCGAATCTTACAAAACTTGTTTTATTGGATCTGAATGGGTGCGAAAAACTTAAGATTCTACCTAGTAAAATTCGTATGCAATCTCTCAAAACTCTTGATCTTATTAACTGCGTGAGCCTTGAGATGTTTCCAGAGATTTTAGAAGTGATTGAGGGGTTAGAAGAGCTTGATTTATCCGGGTCCAAAATTAAAGAACTGTCCGAGTCAATTAACAATCTCATGGGGTTGAGTCATTTCAACCTATCAAATTGCAAGGAACTTAAGATTCTACCTAGCAAAATTCGTATGAGATCTCTCAAAACCTTTAATCTTTTTGGCTGCTCCAGTCTTCTGATGTTTCCAGAGATTTCAGAAGGTATGGAGGAGTTAGAAGAGCTTAATTTATCCGAGTCCAAAATTAAAGAACTGCCCGAGTCAATTAATAATCTCATGGGGTTGTGTCATTTGAACCTATCAAATTGCAAGGAACTTAAGATTCTACCCAGCAAAATTCGTATGAGATCTCTCAAAACCTTTAATCTTTCTGGCTGCTCCAGTCTTGAGATGTTTCCAGAGATTTCAGAAGGTATGGAGGAGTTAGAAGAGCTTAATTTATCCGGGTCCAAAATTAAAGAACTGCCCCTGTCAATTAATAATCTCACGGGGTTGAGTCATTTCAACCTAAAAGATTGCAAGAAACTTAAGAGTCTTCCAAGCTGCATTCATATGAAATGTCTGAAAACCTTTAATCTTTATGGCTGCTCCAGTCTTGAGATGTTTCCATCGATTTCAGAAGGTATTGAGGGGTTAGAAAAGCTTGATTTACCCTGCTCAAAAATTAAAGAACTGTCCCCGTCAATTAATAATCTTACGAGGTTGTGTCATTTGAATCTACAAGATTGCAAGGAACTTAAGAGTCTTCCAAGCAGCATTCATATGAAATCTCTCAAAACCTTTGATCTTTATGGTTGCTGGAGTCTTGAGATGTTTCCAGAGATTTCAGAAGTGATTGAGGGGTTAAAAGTTCTTGATTTATCTGGGTCGAAAATTAAAGAACTGCCCTTATCAATTAATAATCTCATGGGATTGAATCATTTGAAGCTAGAAAATTGTAAAGAACTTAAGAGTCTTCCAAGTAGCATTTGTCAGCTGAAGTCCCTTGCCTTTCTCTCTCTTTCCGGTTGTACAAAATTTGAGGTGTTTCCAAGCATTGAAGAAAATATGGAAGGATTAAGATTTCTTTTCTTGGATGGAACATCTATTAAAGAGCTTTCCCCCTGGATTGAACGGCTTACGGGGCTTCAGTGTTTAGATCTGAGAAACTGCAAAAGCCTTGCACACCTTATCACGGATGCATATCTGTGTCTTGGCCCGAGTCCCTCTCCACCCCAACCCCCCAATTTCTAGGTAATCAAAATTCAAACCCTATTTTTTTTGTTCGGAATTAAAATTCGAAATTTGGGAAATTTTATTATCTGAATAAAGAAATAATTTTCAGGGGTTTTGGGTACTCTCTGCTGATAAACACATGGATACGAAGCTCTGTTTTGAAGCAATCAACCGGACACTACGCCACGTTGCGGCGGCTTTGGTGGAATTGGCGTGGTCAGACGGCTAGCCACGGCCGTATATTTTGAAATCCCAGGAGGTGGCATTTTCCAAGGAGAGGTACATAACTCCACCGCCGGATTCTTTTGATTTGTTCTTGTGCAGAAACTGTGAAGATATTGGTATGTCAATTCCCGTTGCTAGCTTGCTAATGCCACCGTTGCTCCTCCAATTTGGGTGAAAGGTACTTTGCATTTCCTTTTATCTTAACGTTTCCATATCTGCAAATTACAGTGGATGAACGCTCTGAATTTGTGTAAATGACTTTTTTTTCTTCTGGTATATGCGGGGCATAATGATGGGATTTTCAATTGCTTGTCGTATGAATCATCAGCAAACTCTGCATTCATCAGTAAAACCATGGTATTCAATACAACGAACAAGAGCTGCTATGCAGCCTTTTAAGTTTTACAGAAAAATGAATAGATGACATCCGTCTTGCCTTAACAAATACAATGGAGAAGTTACAACTCAAACTGTTAAAGTTTTCCACCAATCTTTGTGCACCATTGATAGTGATGCCAGTTTTAGTTGCATGCTCACATAAAATCTGCCAAAAATATACATATGTCAAGATTTTAACACCCTTGTGCACCACTTATTCCGCTAGCGAGTTTGATCTTTAAGTTTCTTTTGTTGGAAAAATTTGATCTTGAAGTCAGGCACACATGCTTTTGCAGGGAAGATGTATGAAATTGGATCGTGTGGAATTAGCAGCCTAAAAGGGCACATCAAGAGGAGGAATAAATAAGAGCCTCAATGAGTTCATCTCCCTCTTTGGAAGAATGTCCCTTGTACCAACTAATGCTAAAGCTGTAGACGCTAGAATTGAATGGTTCTAGTAGTTTCAGGTTACATTTATATATTTCTAGCATCTGTATATGTGCTGTTTGGGGGACGTTATCGCCAGGGCCGACCCTGGTCCAGTGCAAACAGTACACCTGTCCAGAGCCGAAATTGTTTTGGGGGCACTTCTTCCTTCATGAATCGGGACAGCGGTGTCCTGAGCCTTTCTTCCAGACCAGTGCCCTTCCGTCCCAGCTTTCCTTATCAGCCTCTTGACCTCCGAAATCGCTGCAGAAATCGCCCAAAACTCGACTGAATTTTACAGAATCGGTTGCCGTCGTCACCGCTGCAGTCCCTCTGTGCGCAGCTCATTGAGCTTTCTGGGTACTCTTGCTCCGAGCACACAGTGAGTACTATACTAATATTTCACTAAATAAATGCCCATTTATATGTTTAATTGTTAATTTTGTGATTAAAGTGAGTGACTTTGAGATACCCAGATTGTTGAATCCACTGCTGCTTGTTTTCCAGATTCAGACGAAAGATGGGTACTTACTGGGTTTGAGATGTGTTTGTTACTGCAATTTCTACTTGGTTTGAGATGTGAGGGACTAAAAAGATTGTTTTGGTGGGGAGTGTTCCCCGTAAATGATCTGTGAGTAAAATATTGATTATGTGGACGCCTGATTAGTGAAAAGCCATACTTTCATAGCTCCTTCCAATTTTTTCAACATATTGGTCCTACCATGTTGATTATTTCAAATTTTGAATGTATAGCTCACTATTTGGTGCCTCAACGATTTCATCTCCCTCTTTGGAAGAATGCCCCTTGTACCAACTAATGCTAAAGCTGTAGACGCTAGAATTGAATAGTTCCGGTAGATTTTTCTAGCATCTGTATATATACTGTTTGGAGAAGGACGTTATCGCGATTCAGGGCCGGCCCTGGCTCAGTGCAAACAGTGCACCTGTCCAGGGCCGAAATTGTTTTGGGGCACTTCTTCCTTCGCGAATTGCGATAGCGGCGACCAAAGCCTTTCTTCCAGACCAGTGCCCTTTGGTCGCGGCTTTCCTTATCAGCCTCTTGACCTCCGAAATCGCTGCAGAAATTTCCCAAAACTCGACTAAATTTTACAGAATTGGTCGCTGTCGTTCACCACTGCAGTCCTCTGTGCGCAGCTCATTGAGCTTTCTGGGTACTCTTGCTCCGAGCACACAGTGAGTACTATACTAATATTTCCCTAAAAAAATGCCCATTTATATGTTTAATTGCTAAATTTGTGATTAAAGTGAGTAACTTTGAGATACCGAGATTGTTAAATTGACTGCTGCTTATTTTCCAGATTCAGACGAAAGATGGGTACTTCCTGGATTTGAGATGTGAAGGACTAATAGGAGTCATGTTTGTTAGTGCAACTTCTGTACGGTTGAGATGTGAAGGACTAATGAGATTGCTCTGGTGGGGAGTGTTCCCCGTAACTGATACGCGGGTAAAATATGGATTCTCTGGACGCCTGATTAGTGAAAAGTCTTACTTTCATAGCTCCTTCCCATTTTTTCAACATACTGGTCCTACTAAGTTGATTATTTCAAATTTTGAATGTATAGCTCACTATTTGGTGCCCCCTGATCTGAAGTTTTCAGGTTCTGTTGAAATTTCCTTTCTTGAAAAGAACAATTGGGCAAAGTGATGAACATCCATGGGATACATTTTAACTCAATTGAACTTGGTTACTGGCTTTTCTTGATCTTAACCAGGTGATGCATGATTCTTAAATTCTCCAGAAGAATCGCTGGGATTCGTCCTTGCAGATGAAGGTTTCGATGTATGGGTAGGGAATGTGTGTGGAACACGTTGGAGTCTGGGACACTCATCTTTATCAGAAGAGAGAATAAGATTTATGCTTTACTGTAGAAATTTTGGAATTGGAGTTGGCGGGAATTGGCTCTATTTGATCTACCAGAAATGATGCGTTGCATTATTCGACAACAAGCTCCAAAATCTTTGTTGCTGGACATTCACAGGTCTTACACCTCTTCATATACTTCACATCTCCTTCCCTTGCTGCTACTTTTGGTGTTTACTCAATTTATTCATGTTATTAGGGAACAATCATGTCTTTAGCTGCTCTCATCCAGCCGGATATGGCAGAACTGGTTGAAGCTGCCGCTCGTCTGTACATTATATGCAGCGAATGGGGCGTCAACATTTTGGATTCAATATGTGATGGCCATGTTGACTGCTTGGAGTGGTTGTACATGATTTTGTTTTTGATCGTCGGAGTTTCGGTACTATGTCCTTCCATAATGTAATAGTTTCGAACTCGCTCTTTAACAATATAAAATTTTCTTTTAAAAAAAAATGCATGCACAGAAAAAAAAAATTTAATGTGACATACTACTCGAATCTAACGACACCAGGTGCACTAAAAAATTAACAGAAGGTGGAAATTTAAAGTTCCAAGCTTTGGATTGTTACTTTGCACTGTGAAATTTATGAGATTGCAGACAGCTTATTAGTCCTTGAAAGTTTGTAACTTTATGTGAAAAACCTATGTGATTTATTTGCTGTTGATGTTATTTAACCCAACAACTATACGGAAATTGCTTTGTAGCCTGTAATTTTTAATTTTTACATGCTTAATGGTGCAGATTTTGTATCATAGAGGGGCCTGAAACAGTGCAGGATTTTGCCACAATGGAGCTGCAGGAAATTCAAGATAATATTCGGAGTCGTCGCAACAAAATTTTCTTGCATATGGAGGAGGTGAGAGCAATTACTAGTTGCTACCACTTTCTCAGTTTAGCATGTTTTAAATTACTCTCCAATTGCCATTAGAAATGTGTTCTTTAAGAATGAGCTTCGATATGCGTAGGTTCGCAGGCTGAGGATACAACAGCGGATTAAACGTGCAGAGCTTGGAGCGGTAAATGAAGATCAAGAAAACGAACTTCCTAGTTTTCCATCGTTCATTCCATTTTTGCCTCCCCTGGTAAGCTGGTGCCCCTGTGAAGACATGTATTTTCATATCCCCGACATGTTTTAGCCATATTTTGTTGTAGCCTTTTGTCGATTCATAAAAAATTGCGAAAACTAGTGTTTGTGCAAAGTATTAATCACAAGGTGAATTCATTGCTTGCAGAGTTCAGACAACCTTAAGCAGTATTATGCTGTTTGTTATTCAATTATTGTGGGGTTTATCCTTTTCGGTGGCCTCATAGCACCCTCCGTAAGTTCTTTATGCATTAACTTGTTGTAATTAGTTTTAACAGTTATCATAAACATTATTTTCTTTTACTGGTCCGACAATATGGTTCGGAATTTGCAAGTAAAAAATGAGGAAACATATCAAAATAAGTGTAGTTGTTGCTTATAAAACATGGATTCGGTTATGTTTGTAACTCTTTGCCTACAATTACCTTTACATCTTTCAGTTGGAGTTGAAGCTGGGAATAGGAGGCACATCATATAAAGACTTTATAGTAAATATGCATCTGCCGTTGCAGTTGAGGTATTGCTCATATCTCAGGCTATTAACCCTCCTGTTCTCTAGTAATTATCGTTTTGAAATTTTGTACCATCTATCGTGTTATGAATCTTTAAATTCGATTGTTGCTGTTTTCCGTCTGTAACGTAGGAATCAAATGCTTTGGGAACCGATATGGTCAAATTTTACGAGGATCCTCAATTTTTACACATTAGAAAAACCTAGGATGTCATCTTTCTTGAAACGAAGCTAAATAATGTTGATACTATGTTGTTACCAGTTTCGTTTATTGATCTCCTTTACTTTCAAACTGCAGTCAAGTTGATCCCATAGTGGCGTCATTCTCTGGAGGAGCAGTCGGAGTGATCTCAGCATTGATGGTAGTTGAAATAAACAATGTGAAACAGCAGGAGCATAAACGATGCAAATATTGTCTTGGAACTGGTGTGATAATGTCCTATATTTCTGACTTTTAGTTTATGTACTGTAGCTTTAAATATATACGATGGAGATGTTCGGATTGGTTTCGTATGTCAACTTACCTGTGTATTTGATACTTACGCAGGATCTCTTGCTTGTGCTCGTTGCTCCAGCACTGGAACCCTTGTTCTTACTGAACCAGTATCGACAGCTGATGGCGGAAACCAACCCCTATCTCTGCCAAAAACTGAACGATGTTCAAATTGCTCAGGAGCGGGAAAGGTTAGACATATAATTATGTCCGTTGAATGTTTATTGCATACTAAATTCCTTTTAGTGCCTGCCGCTTAGATGCTCTATATTCACATGTTTGGTGATACTTCTATTTGTCGGGCATGTGAAAGACAATTCAGAAGAAAAAAATTGCACTGGAAATGAAGTTTAAGATTGATTTAGTAGCAAAATTTTGAGAGATGACTTCCAAATGGCAGCTATATCTAACATTGCGTCTGTAAATGTGGCAGGTAATGTGCCCGACATGCCTTTGCACTGGAATGGCGATGGCAAGTGAACACGACCCTCGGATCGATCCCTTTGATTAGAAGTGGAGCGGCATCGGTAGTCGTTCCCTTACCACTTACAACCTTCTTTCTTTCTTTTGATGCAAATGCAATACATACATCCTCTCATAAGTCGTGTCATAAGCAAGGAACTTCTGTATACATCAACTGTTAAAGAATTTGACCAGACATCTGATTGCGATTCAAAAGTTTTCTTCCCTTGTTCAACTTTGTTTTAAAACATCTTTCTGGGGAAGAATCAATTTCTTTCGAGGTATCGTTGTTGTGCACGGAATCAAAACTGCTTTGTTGCTCGTCACAATTTTGGAGAAAACGTTGGAAAAGTGGCAACACACACACACACACATATAAACATAAGTTGAACTTAGCATGCATTTTGCACAACAAATACTTGTAATATCAAGATATACAGACAACAGAATGAAAATGCCAACTCTGCCAAGTTTATAGTGGTGAAACCAAACCACAACAGCAAATAGAGACACGACGGAAATCTTGATGGCACGCCAGCTCCGGGGTTACTCAATTTCACCGGAGAGGAGGCCGGGAGCCATCACGCCAAGTTCGAAGTGGAGATGGCAAAGAGTAACGGGAATGAAGGACTAGTCCGCATCAGATGCTGTTACAACGATAGAGGTGGAGCTCTCGCATACAAAAACGAGTAGTACACTTAAGTACTCCAACATTTCGTCGGTATTTTAAGTTCGGTAGGTCAACGGCAACATCCAAGCCGGCATTCCGGTAATCGCAGATGACGGAAAGGTCAAGAGTGGGTTTACATTAGCATTCAAGTTTGGAGAATCTGAGACAATACCAAGTAATGCACAGGAGGCTGCGTGCAAGGCTGTTCCGACACCCTTAGTAGCTGGGAAGTAATTACCATCAACATGGATGATGACGTTTACACTGGTGCCAATACCTTCGACAAGAAGTTCGACACCAACGAAGAAATGTCTTCTCATCCAATGCTCAGTGATATATTCTCGGAATTTCACAATACAGTTAAATGGCTACATTATTCTTCAGAAAATTTACATATTTTGTGTGTCTTATTACCAATCCTACATTCGATACCATTGAATTTACTGGTAAAAATACATTTCTGTAACGATCCTCCGATGGTAGATCTTCGTCTTTCTTCTTCAACCACTTTGTTCAGGGAATTGCTGATGTCACCCAATGCCCAAGCTACCGAGATGTGAGGGCGTGGATCCTGTGATCACCAAGACCCCATCAAGTGAATTAGTTTTTTGAGAAATCATTTGATCCAATATATTGTCATATATTCAGGAAGCGATTCGAGTTTGAAAAGGACGAAAAAGCTAACCTTGTAAAATTTAGGATGATTGTGAAGCTTATACACCTCATTCACAGCTTGAATCTGCTTTGTTATCTGAAATCAATGGAAGTTAAAATATTTCAGACTTGTAGACAATGAAAGCTGATTCAACCGTGCATTAATACGAAAACAGGTATGCTTCTAGTAACCACGTTTCACTCCTCCAGGATATCAGAGTGGTCTGACGGGCCGCAAGGGGCGTGGAGGGTACGAGAGGTGTTGCAAGTCACGAGCAGAGTTGTTGGGTGGGCGGGTCATCGTTGGGATGTCGCCGATCTGTTTCACGTTTTAAATCCCATCGTTCCTAGTCTGGTTAAGACAGTCTACACCAATCTTTAGACAAAAAACCTATCCTATCCAGTTCAATCCTAACCTAACTAGTCTGAAATACCAATTCCAATCTTGTCCAGCCCGCCAAACATGCCCTAAGTTTCATAGGCTTATACTCACATGACATGATTAGGAACATGATTTACGCCAGGACAACACATGTTAAAACCATGAGCATATCATGCATTAGTTTTCGTTTGTGTTTTTCATGTTACAAGTGCATCGAAGACCAAATCTAAGCTAATAAGCAAGCAAGATCTCGATATTTCAAAATCCCATGACTTTCGGCAAGTCCTTGCTAAATCTTAAGCCCATATAACAACTGAAAACATTTAGAATTGCACCAAGAGAGAAAGCTAGCAATCATACCTCAGCTAACCCAGCAGCAATGATTTCGATAGACACAAAGGTCCGGGTCTGATCATCATTAACAAAAACCTACCACTTGCTAAAATCAATCCAATACTTGTTTCACAATAACAAAATGTGTTAAACTGAAAATGGACGAAAAATTTGCAGGCTTACAGAATTATGTTAAATAACAGAACTAAATTCACGCAATGCAGACAAGAGAATGTAAATGTAACCATACCGCCTCTGAATCTGAAGCTTCTGCCGCAGCATTGTCACCAAGGAATCAATCTGGTGCACCCGAATCGGAACAGTTCTTCCGAGACTTATATGGAACTCTCTGCCTAAAGCAACTTGTTCAAGCTTGTGCTCGTCCTTACGCAGAATGTCAAGCAGGAAGTCAACGTCAACCGCATGGAGACCAGGCACCAGAGAAGCTAGCTTGTTCAAAAACAAGGCCATCTCTTTCCTTGGTGCTGGTGGTATATAAACTGACCACAGAATTAAACAAGCAAAAACTAAGTGCAAAGCGATCGCATTTGCTAATGGAGCTGAAAATTTCGAGAATTTTGATAACCTGGGATGTATACATGTACTGCGTAGTTCCCTTCGACGTGAGGAAAGTTCCGAACTCTGCTCGGCTGGGCGCTTGCCGAGAAGTCCAGAAATCCTTCAGAGGCAAAACATCAAATACTTGGTGGGCAACTCGGAAAAAGCCATCACAACAGAAAGCTAAAAGATGAAAATTGATGGGAATCAGAGGTTACCGAAGGAATTGGGGTTGTCGAGAAGTGACAGAGGAGGTGGAGGCAGCGCAGGGGTCGGTTCTTGAGGGTTGTTGAGCTCCGGAGGTGGTGATGGAGGTGGAGCCGGCGACTCGGAGTCTGAGCCCGACGACGAGTCTCCGTACGAGGCAATCAGGGCCTCCATTTCTCTCTCGCGCTAAAAGCGAACCAGTACGTTCTTAATTTGGGTAACTAGAAGTAGAACGAGAAGACCGGAGATAATGGGCCTCATAATTGGGCCCACTAGGCCCAGGCCCGAGGTCCGTGATTTCGAACAGCGTGATTAAGAGGGAAAAAAAACCAAAGAGAAACGTACACATTTGGTCTTCTTTGCTCCTTCTTCTTTCTAGGGTTGCAAAGGCCTTTCTGCAAATATGTGATCGCAAAGTTTATTTTGCATTGAATTGTTTTCAACATGGATGTCAAATTTGTCACAGAAATTGCCATGTTGCTGCTACTTGCTTTGATCGAAATAAGAATTTCACAGGCACATCAAAGCATTTCTCTCAGGGTTTATCCTCATCTATGCCAACTCCAATGCCTGCTGGGTCATATGGCGAAGCACCTAGCTAGAATCCATGTGGTCCTTCACAAGGCATGATTCCACGGTCTAATAGCTCCCAGTTTCAGTATCATGTCATACCACATATGTATCTCTCAACTATATCCTCACAAAATCCTCCTCTTGCTATACAAGCACGAGCTGGTGCATCATCCTCAACTCTTCAACAAGATTTATGGTTTCTTGACTTGGGAGCAACTAACCATATGACCTCAGATTTGTCAAACTTGCACATGGCAACAAATTTATCCATCAAATGATACTGTGACCAGTGCTAGTGGTGAAGGTTTAGCTATCAAACATATTGGTTCCTCTTCTCTTCTCACTAAGTCACATAATTTCAAGTTAAACTTTGTGTTACATGTTCCAAAACTGTCACAACACTTATTATCTATGAATCAGTTGTGCAAAGATAATCAGTGTCATTGTATCATTGATGATGTTTCTCTCTATCTACAAGACAAGGTCACCGGGAAAGTGCTATTCCAAGGGCTGAGTAATAATGTTGTCTATCCACTTCCCATAATCAAACCACATAGGTCTATTTCTCCTGTTTTTAATCCAATTGCATTTGTGGGTCAAAAGATGTATTCTACATTGTGGCATTGTCGATTAGGCCATCCTGCACATTCCATTGTCACTGCAGCACTTAATAAGTCTTGTATATCTTTTCCTTGTAACTCTCAATCTCATACTTGTAAAGCTTGTTTGCAAGGCAAATTTTACCAAGCTCCATTTTTCCTGTAATTGCTTCGAAGTCACTTACTCCATTTGAAGTAATTCACATAGATGTTTGGGGTCCCTCACTGTTTTGTCAACTTTCTTGCTTTTGTCTCGAATTATTTTGATGCTTATGTAAAAATTTTGCAAAGTGATGGGGGTGGGGAATATGTTAATACTCAGTTTAAGCAATTTCTTCTTACCAAAGGCATTGTTCATCAAAAATCTTGTCCTTATACCCCATAACATAATGGGTTGGCTGAGAGAAAAAATCAACATATTGTCGAAACAGCTATTACCTTTTTACAACAAGTTTCAACCTTCAAAATTCTAGTTCCATTCGTGTGCCACTGCTACTTTTCTTATAAACAGAATGCCCACACCTACCCTACATATGTAGTCTCCTTTTGAAATGCTATATAAATCTCCACCTAAGCTTGATCATTTGAGAATTTTTTGTTGTTTATGCTATCATTCATTGAAACCCTATAGAAGCAATAAACTTGAACCTAAAACTACTAAGTGTATTTTTCTGGGGTATGCTACACAATACAAAGGGTATATTTGCTTATCTCTCAAAGATCAGAAACTGTTAGTATCTAGACATGTTATTTTTGATGAATCCAAGTTTCCTACAGACTCTAATGCTTTGGGTTTCAATCCTCAAGTTACTTCTGGTCATTCTTCCTCACCAATGTCTGTTGTGCATTCAAACACATTCATTCATCCACCTAGTGTTTCTTCCACATTTCCATTTATTGGTCCCACTTCTCTTACCTCTAAATCACAACATGTTACTCAGTCATCATCCTCTCAACCCACTAGTTCTGGTGATCTTGTCTCTTCTTCCACAAGTTTTGTGCCTTCTTCAGAGGTTTTGCCTACTGTGTATTCAAAAGATCATCCAAATACTACAATGTCTCAAGTGGATGATCTCCAACCAGTGTGTATCAATGCTCAAAATTGTCATCCCATGCAAACCCGGTCTAAGTCTAGGATTATGAAAAAGAAGGTGTTTTCTGCTAAGGTGGATCAGGCTTCTGAAATCAAGGAACCTCAGTCTTTTTCTAGTATTGTCAAGTGTGTTTAATGGCAAAATGCCATGAAAGAATAGATGGATGCTTTGATTCAACATCATACTTGGAGGCTTGTGCCCTTACCACCTGACAAAAATCTTGTTAGTTGTAAATGGATCTACAAGATTAAGAGAAATCCAGATGGTTTAGTGGCTAGGTACAAGGCTAGACTTGTAGCTAAGGGGTATTCTTAAGAAGTTGGTATTAACTATTATGAAACCTTTAGCCCTGTGGTCAAACCAAACATAGTTCGATTGGTTCTATCCTTGGCTGCATCTCATAATTGGAAACTCAAACAGTTAGATGTCAAGAACGCTTTTTTGCATGGCTTTCTTGAGGAAGAAGTTTTTATGTCTCAGCCCCAAGGGTTTGTGGATTCTACCTATCCGGATTATGTGTGCAAACTAGAGAGGTCTTTATATGGACTCAAGCAAGCTCCCAGAGCCTAACATGACAGGTTTTCAGGTTATTTGCCTAAGCTTGGGTTCAAGTCATCATATGCAGATCCTTCTTTATTTGTCAAGTGTGATGGTTCATCAATTATTGTTCTCTTATTACATGTTGATAATATCATTCCCACTAGTAATGATGCTGTGAAGGTTCAGAATGTTATTAGTCAGTTAACTAGTGAGTTTGACATGAAAGATCTGGGTGTGTTGCATTATTTTCTTGGTTTACAGATTGAATATCAAGAACAGGGACTCTTTGTTCATCAGACCAAGTGTGTCAAAGAACTCATTCAAAAGATGCATATGCTGGACTGTAAACCTTTTTCCACACCTTGTCATCCTAATCAAAAGCTTCTGAATCATGGTAGTGAACCTGTTTCTGATCCTACCACTTACAAAAGTATTGTTGGGGCACTACAATACGTAACATTTACAAGACCAGATATTTCTTTTTCCGTCAATCAAGTATGTCAGTTTATGCATTCACCATTAGCCACTCATTTGCTGCTGTGAAACGTATTCTGCGATATCTCAGAGGCACTATGTCTCTGGGATTGTGTTTTAAATCAGGTTCATCTTAGTTGAAAGCTCATACATATGCTGATTGGGCAGGGGATCACAATGATCGTCGTTCAACCATGGGTTTTGTCACTCCTATCTCTTTGAGTTCTAAAAAGCAGCATACAGTGAGTGGGTCTTCCACTGAAGCTGAATATAGAGCAATGGCTACAACCACTGCTAAGGTTATCTGGATACAACATCTTCTTCGAGATTTGCATGTTGGTTCTCCTTCTGTTCCAGTTTTGCATTGTGATAACATTTAAGCAATGGCTCTTGCCACTAAACCTGTATTGCACTCTAAAGCCAAACATGTAGAGATTGATTGCCACTTTGTTCGTGAAAGAGTTCATCAAAGGACAATTATTTTTGTATGATTGGTAGTGGTCTTAGTTAGTTAGTGAGGTGTGTTAGAAATGTATAAATACCAAGAGTGGTAATTATTGTAGACAAGTTGAATGAAAAGAATATTATTCAGGTTTAACAAACTTTCCCTCCCTACTAGTTTCCAAAAAGAAAAAACTTTCCCTCTCTACGATCTATCTCTTAGTTTTCCTTAGCTCCTAAGGTTTTACACTGTTATCAGCCTGGTCAGGCCGTCAGGCCAAATCCTCCGTTGGAATCTTCGAAGCAATGTCCAAGGAAAACGTTCAGGCGTACGGCGGAGGGCTCACGGCGGAACAAAGAAACCGCATCTCTCGGAATTTCAGAGCCGCCAAGGCCCTCATTGATCGCAAACGCCCCCGCAACGACGCCGTTTCACCTGATCATCACCTCCCTCATACCAAGTAAGTCGTTCAGGAATCAAAGGTTTCATCTTCTTACTATTTTTTTGCTACTCGGCTGTTTTCTTGCTTCAATTTAAATCAATTCAATTGTGTTTTTCAAATTCCAGAATCTGTGGCGGAAATGGAATCCAAACGCCAACTCAGCTCAATAGAGTTCAAAGAACACCGCCTCCGATTTCCGCAAGCCGGTACAATTCAACGCGTGGTGAATATGGCAGTGCTTCGTGTTCCGGGAGCTTAAGCGTTAGCCGGACCGAATCAAGCGTGTCAAAATCGGATTCTTTCACAACTCCAATCAGACAACCGCAGTTTCTGACTTCATTTGATTCTTTCTCTGCATCTGGAATTCTTAACGATGATGATTTCGACGAGAGTATTTTGCAGGAAATTGACGCTTTAATCGAGCAGAAACCGAGTGTGGACATTCAGCGTGATGATATTGGGAGTTGTGGTAGTGACGTTAGTGCCGCATCAGCGCCACCTTTGAGTAGTGAAAACCAAAAAGATTCTGTTAACCATGGATTGCCTAACATGCCGGATGAGTATTGAAGTATTTGCTTTCTCTCAACGAAAGGCAGCGCGAGGCAGCTTGCAGCGATATTTCAGTACCTTTGATGATTGTTGCCGGCCCTGGAAGTGGAAAGACTTCAACGATAGTTGGGCGCGTTCTAATGCTGCTCAATGAGGTGTTGCTACTTTCCCTCTAACTTTTTCTTTCGTAATTGTGTGTTTCTCTACATTTCTTGTTTATGATCGAAATCTTATACGTTTTTTTTTTTTTTTTTGTGTTCTTAGGGCATTAGCACGTCGAACATTCTAGCAATGACTTTCACTACAGCAGCAGCTTCCGAGATGAGAGATCGAATTGGATCTGTGACTGGGAAAGCAACGGCAAAACTACTAACAATCAGTACATTTCATTCATTTTCATTGCAACTTTGCCGATCACATGCTGAGAAGTAAGCTATTGATTCACCTCCCTTGATTTTGAACACCATACATTTGGTGGTATAGCTGAGTCTGTTATGTTGGCTTGTGTTTTAGACTCGAGCGCAGACCAGAATTTTTGATATATGG